ATGGTGAGCCACGCATCAGAAACATCACCGACACAGGGATGTAGAAAGAGACGCAAATAAAAGCGGTTTCTAAAGTACAACAAACATGCAGAGGTGTGCAGAAGTATTACCTGATCTCCCTTTCTCTGCTTCAAACAGTTGAGAACCATTACAAAATGTTACCTCATATAGTGTGGTCTTCATCTGTACAATATTTTATATGGACCATGCATCAAATGATGATGATGTGCAATAAGAGATTGTAGTGATGAACGGACAAAAATCTGCCTTTCCTTAATCCTGCACCTTTTCACTGTCCAGTAACAGGAAAGCGTGCTTAGTTTGTACAACCTTCAATGCACCATAAGACTTTTAAAAAAACTTTAAAAAGACATGGGGCGCTGGTGGCGCTGTGGTTAGTGCGTGCGCCCCATGTATGGAGGCTGTGGTCCTCTAGGTGGGCGGCCCGGGTTCAAATCCAACCTGTGGCTCCTTTCCCGCACATCTCACCTTCCCTGATTTCTGACTGTATCCACTGTCCTATCTTTACAGAGCTGCCATGTCCCATATTTTTTTTATCTTTGCTGTGGAAACACTTAGTTTAAAAGATAAAAACCTTCAGTGTACATCTGGTTCTCCTCACATCGACACACAGACATCATATCCCTCTCCAGCCCCGAAAAGAAAACAGAGTGTCAGCACAGTTGAATTAGATTGTGTCGCCCTTCAGCAGATGCTGTGAGGAAGCTGACGACTTCACGAGATCAGACGAGCGATGAAGACACACTCTGATCTTCCTCCTCATCAAAGGGAAACACACACACACACACACACACACACACACACAGAGAGCTCTCTTTATTCTCTTCATCACTCAAACTCTGTGCACTTTATTCAGCCTCTGCTTCAGAAGTCAAAGCCGGTCAGAGTGCCTCTAAAATGACTCCTAGTTACTCAACACGATTATTAACAGCACACTCACAGCTCCTGTTACGCCGCTGCACACCTGTGGCTCCTCTGTATGGTTACCATGGTGATGTCAACATCTCCTGTTTGTGCAACAATTGATCCAGATTGTAAGAGTGCGCATGTTTAAGTTATAGAATTCACTGGGAGAAAAATCAGCGAACATTGTTCAGGTGAGAAGACGTTTTAAACTGGTTCAAAGTGAAAGTTCTTTCGATGTCTATTTGAGGACTTTGATGAACATGCAGGTCCAATGCTCTCCACCATCAGCTGCTAACGTTCCTAATGTCTTACATCTGTCAGGTAAAATATGAACTACATCAGCACCCAGGGGTCTTTGTGTTCAGGAATCCTTGATGTACAGGGTTAGGGTAATGTAATGTATTGATGTACAGCTGAAATGTTTGCACCTGCCCCGTCTTCTTTCTTCTTCTTCAGTAGGAGGATGTATAAAACTGCTCTCTTTACATCATCTCTGAACCTTCTTCACACAGACCTTAAAGAACCATTGTCATGTTTTTTAGTTTGAAAAATAAAATTGGCTGGCATTTCGTCTTTGCTTCGACAACTACAATCATCATCTTTGCCACAATGTCGATTCTAAAATGAGCAAATGATCAAACTCCTAAGAATAAAATTAAAGTTTCTGACACATTGTGGGTATGTAAAATGTATGTTAGATGGTTGAAAAGTGTTTTTTAAGGGGTCTTTTAACCTTTTGAATAAAGAAAATAAAACTGTGCATCAAAGGGAAAGATTATCGTCTGATTTGAATACAGAAAGTCTGCAGGCTCTTGTAGAATGAGGCACTTACCAGAAACTTACCTAAAATGTTAAATGACCAGAAACTGCAGGCAAACTCCTGAACGCTGTCGAAATGGCACAAATACGTTGGCAACTTTTTTGTGCAGTAATGTAATGTAACGTTATTTGTGCAATTTAGACGCTATCTCTCTTTCTCTCTCTCTAACACTTTGGGTTAAAAATATGAATGAAGATCTGAGTACTGAAAATATTGAGGTGGGCCACTGGGTTTGTGGCCTTGTGGTTGATTCGTGCACCCTATGTACAAGGCGGGCAACCTGGGTTTGAATCCGACCTCTGGCTCCTTTGCCGTGTGTCATTCTCTCTCTCTCTGCCCTTTGCTGGTTTTTCTTACTTTAATTTCTCTTCTCATGCAAAGCCTAAAAAAAACTAGTACCATAAAAGATTTGACGGCCTAACACTGGCAGGTTTGTTGAGGAATCTAATCAGTGTTTTATTGCAGCAAAGTTCAAGACGATCACAAGACACAGCTTGATGTGTGTGTGTGCTATGTTTGGTACATCAGATTTGAGTCCTGGCTCGGTACAGGAGGGCTGAGAACATCTGGTAAACACACACACACACACACACACACACACACACACACACACACACACACACACACACACAGGCCTTCCCCACCAGCCGAGTGTAGAAGGAGTGTTGCTTCGAGATAAGATTTTCTCTGATGTCCTCATTTTTCTCATTCCTGAGCCAAATTGCCCCCTGCTCGTCACCTCACAACACTTCCACCTCCTTGTGTGCACACAAACACAACCGCACGTCTGCAGCATGCAGGGGCACACATTTTTAAAGTGCAATAAAGATTTCTGTGCAACATCAGCAGCCATGTAACCCGAGAGAAAACATTACCTACAGAAGCTGCTGTGGGGCTCCTTTAATTACATAAAATCATTTTTGTTGAAAAACCATAAATAAAAGAACAAGCTCATCATCTTGGGTTTACTAACTCTGCTTAATTATTCACTCGGCATTAATTAGGCAATCAGCGTGCAACGTATTTAGCCCACAAGAGCCCATAAAATATGAATATCCAGCACTTGTCTGCATGCGGCTCAGAGGTCTACACAAGCTCTGTGTTACAGGCTCGATTTTTAGGGTAGTAGAACAGATTGTGCAAGAAGTCGACGCAGTGCAAAAAAAAAAAATGAAGCACGACATTTCAATCTGGAAAACAACCAAGGAGCTGGCTGACAGTGCACCCTGTTATTTGACTTTTCAGGTGCTTCATTAATCTGCAAAAGAACAAAATGCAGTAAAAGCAATTGGAACTCCTTTTACGCCATAATGACATTACTTACCTCAGCATCTTTGACCGTGAAGCTCCATTAGAACAAAATACAAAATGTCCTAGTAATTTAAGAATATAAATTAAAGGTAGGGTTGGTAATTTTAAAAAGCTAGCATGATTTTGAAAGTAGTATTCCCTCAGTGGTCCGTCTACACCCCCTCCCCTCTGTGCTCCCTCAAAAGGCCACGCCCCTCACTTACATGCACGAGCGCCGTTGGTCCAGAAGCGGACCTCAGCTCATGCCTTGAGTGTGGGCTAGTGCACGCAAGAGATAGAGAGCGAGCCAGGAGACAGGGAGGTACCTGATTGGTTCTTCAGATTGGTACCTCGTGGCAGACATTGGTCGAAGTTTTTATAGGCTTACAACTGATACAGATGACAGATTTTCTATGTTCCTTTTTTTCAGAGAACATGAGTTATTAATTTCTGTCAGGACCTAAAGACAATTTCAACTAGAAATCTTAAAAAGTGAATCTGAAGGAAATGACCAACCCTGCCTTTAATTTAACGACATTTAATGTCATTATTTGGTCTGATGCCAGTCTATGTCTGTTGTCGGTTATCAGAATAAGAATCAGAAATACTTTATTAATCCCAGCGGGAAATTCGATCGTAACAGATGTCTACCTACCTGTGTTATTCTTCCTCGTGGCTCCTTGTTTCCCCTTTTTGGACTTGTGTCTAATTCCTTATTTTTCCAAGAATATGACAGAGAAGAGAAGGACTTAGATACAAGTCCTTTCCCGTATGTCACCCCCCACTCTCTCCTGTACAGTATTTACAACTTTGTCCACTTTCCTCTCACTCCAATCAAAGGCAAAATAGCCAAAAAAATAACCTTACATACAAATCAGCCTTTTTAGGTCCATGCTACATTTAAAAAAAAAAAAAGTTCAATTTTGTCAATACAACCTGGAGGAGAACAACGATTATGTTATTGTATTTATAACGTAAATATAATTCAAGTTGGCAGCACAAATTCAAAGATGATTATTATTTCATTAGTCTATTTAAATTGCAGTTAGTAGTCCTATTTAATTTTTATTTTTACAATTTTGACTACGCAATAAAAAAAAAAAAAAATTGAATAAGTTCGGTTGAGAAACAAAACTTACCTTTTCAGCTGAGATTTGTCAATATTTACTAACATTCTTCATTCATACGCTTCCGTGTTGAGGTCTCCATTGAAACAATCTGCAGGAAACTGCGGTTGAGGAGGAGCCAATATGGCGCCGTCACGCCGCCATGTTGGCTCGAAGCCTATAGGCCTCAATGGGGAATCTTGGGTAAGTTCTTGGCCCCGAATGGAGGAGAGTGGAACAGTTTCATAACGCGCGTGTGGGCGGGGCTTGTTGGTGTTCTGGAAGCTCCGTGGAGTTGAACGTCCAGGCAGGCAGACGGGCGACAGTGTTCGGGGGGAAAAGACACAAACCAGCGGCTACGGGAGAGTTTCCGAACCGGCAGTGGTGGAGCTTCTGGACGGGGCGTGGAGGACTTCCCACCGTGCGTCAGTAAAGCCTTCACGGCGTGTGGATTTCGTGTGCACCCCCGCCCCCGAGAAAAAAGTGTGGCTGCTCTGGGAGTGAGGATCACCGTAACCCACCTGGATCGGTGCTGTAACGGGAGCCTGGTGTAGCCGACACAATCCAGCGGGTCTGTGCTCGGCGTACTAGACCCGGTGTCGGAAGGAGAACACACACACATCCATAGGCGACGCGCGCACAAACACACACACACACCGGCGGAGGAGTTACTATAATGTTTGACAACCACGTATGCGTTGCTTTTTGACACGGGTTACCGGGAAGCTGTGGGAAAGGCGGGGCCGAACCGGTGGACACCCCAACTGGATTACTGAGCTCCCCGCGTGCCGATTCACCCACCGCGACGCAGCGGTTTTTTTGGGGGGTGAGGAGGAGGAGGAGGAGGAGGCGGGGGGTCGACGGAGGAGCCAACAACTGGAATATAACAACCTTTCTGTGGAACTCTTTACCGACTGACGGCGCAGGCGGTGCTGGACGGTTATATCGCTTCAGCTGCCGCTTTCCTCTAAAGGAGCACAGCCGGGCTTGGGACGCTTATTTGAGGAGGGGGGGGCGGGGGGGGAATCATTTTTTCCCCAGCCGGGGTCGGTTGGACTATGGCGGACGACGACATCCTCTTTGAAGATGTGTACGAGCTCTGCGAGGTCATCGGCAAGTAAGTGTTGCATTGCTGATTTATTTCACCGCTGGTCACCTGAGCTTTGCAATTAGCTCCTCGTAATATCCCGAGGGTTTGGCTGATGTACGCACACACTCACGCACTTACGCACTCAAAGCGCGGTAAGGAGCTATAATTAAAGGTGTTGTGAGTGACCTTAATGCTATTTGTGCTGTCTTGTAATTGTATATAATTTAAATATACTCAGGTTTATTGCGCAACAATTAAGCACAGGTGGATAACTGTCTTTATCTGAATGCATATTGACGTAATAGCAGTTGTTGCACTCCCACTTTTATTGCTGGAATCCAACATTACGATAAGAACCTTTTTATTGCTGTGGCAGTATTAACCCCCCCTCCTCCTCCTCCCTCATCCTGCGTGGTTCGTGTGCAATAATTGCAGACACACAGTTGTTGGCATGCAGCCGCGTTCTTTGACCTGGTGGCAGTTGGCAACTTGCTGCAGAGATTAAAGGGCAGGGCACCAGAGCGTCGTGAGTCATGCACATCGCACATCTGGTCGTGGTTAGAGCACCGGAGGTCTCATCCAGACTGGCTGGAGTAATATTCACAGTGTTGGGAATGTGTTTGCACAGGGGAAGTCCCAGCATTTCAATCTGAGGTTGTGGTGTAAGTGATTTACTCCAGAATGAAGTTATGGTCAAACACAAAGCCATGCATCAAGCGTTTGATGGATACATCTGCAACATAAAATGATATTATGCAATAAGCAGGGATGTGCACAGAGATTTTTTTTGGAGGGGGGGGGGGTCTGGGGCCCTCATCCCACCCATAAAAATCTCACTTTCCCCCCTCATCTTGCCGCTTGGTCTTGGTCATTCTTTTTTTAGAGGTGTATTTTGGGGCTTTTATTCCTTTTTATTTAGAGAGAGGACAGTGGAAAGAGTCAGATATCGGGGAGTCCGAGAGTGGGGAATGACATGCAGGAAAGGATCCAACGGTGGACTCCGACCAGGGCTGCCCGCCTGGAGGACGCGCGCTAACCACTTGGCCTCCCGCGCCCAAACACGGTCATTCTTAATGGCTGTGTTAAAGTAAATAGATGAGAGAATTCTTCCTAAAAAGGATAGAAATTGGATGCAATTACGGCAGCAACAAGAAATTGAGTAAATTAAGATGATCTCAAACCACCTCGACTCTTCTCTGACTGACTCTTATCTTTTGATGGCTTGTTTTAATTGTGATTTTTTTTTCTCTATCTCTATCGTCTATCATTGTGAAACCACAGAAACATTTGTGGTTTTTGAGGCTTCGATAAAAGTTTGAAACCAAAGATTAATTTTTTGAACATGAGGGTTAAAGGGTCTCCGGGTCTCAAACCCCCTCATGTGTATGTGCCAGGCAGTTTTAGACCCCAAGTTATTCCCCATCTGGATAACAGTTCATGCTGCAGAATGTGACAGGTGAATAAAACATCTGGATGCTACGACTCCTTCCTTTTTTGTAATCCTACTTTCTGCTTGTGATTCCAGTGTGAAGCAGACAGAGATTATTGTGACAGTTTCAGTTTGTGTGTGTGAACTCTCCCATGCTGCGTCTGCGGATGACTAATAACTAAAACCGGTTAAAAGTGGCACACTGTTCAAATCTGATGATGACCCACCCTCTGCCATTATTTGCTGTCAGCGCTCAGCTTTGTTCTGTTGTACCTGCAGCACACACACACACACACACACACACACACTCACCTGGGACTTTCCCAGCTGATACCAGAGCACTTTATAAGAAGAGAGGCGGTAAACGCTGAGGGAGAGAGACACTTTGTTTTCACACGCAGCTCAGACAGCTGAATGAGAGAGAGAGAGAGAGAGAGAGAGAGAGAGAGGATCTGTTTCTGCTTTGAACGATGCATGAATAAGAGACTGTGTCATCCAAACTGTTGGCCTTGAATGAAGCACTTCATCGGGCGTACAAACAGAAGCTCCATGTGAATCAGCAGCCTGTCAGTCAGTGGGAGCAGGCTGACTGGTTTTCGGGACTTGAGCGGTGTCACAGAGATGGTTGACTGTTTGACGGGCTGATAAGACCTGCCGCCGCTGCTCGCTGCATGTTTAGGCAAGCCTGAAGACTGTGTGTGAGCCCTGCTCGTCCCGCACAGTGACTTTCTCTCTCACTCAAACACATGCAAGAACTCCTCCTTCACTGTCATCCCTTCACGATTAAAGAAAAAAAGATCAAACTTAACACATGCATCTTTATGCAGCAGAAGAACACTTTGACCCTCAGAAACCTACATTTGTATTTCTGATGATTGAGCGTCTTCAAATGCTTCACATCTCGTTTCGTCCTGTTGCTCAGAGAGTGACGGCTCAAGCTGTAAAAAGTTTTTAATTTGAGATAGATTGAAAAAGGATCATGTAATAAACAATCTCCTGCATGCAGCTATTTTGCATCTGCCTGCACGTTCCTTTGAGTTTTTTTTAATTTACTGTGCATCAGGCCCCACCATATGATATTATCACGATACTCGATTTTAAACATTTTGTGATATGCTGAGAATCGGGACACAATATATTGCGAGTTAACTTTCTTAAGTCCACAAAATCAAACTAAATGAAGAACTGTTCAGTCTCTTCATCTCTCGTCAGTCTTTTTTTATTTCTACACACATGGAGTCGAGCTCACAGACGGACCGGCACTGAGATAAAAGGAAAACCCTGTTAAAGGCTGCATGCTCCTCTCAATCTGAACTGTTAGTATTTCAGTCTGATCGAACTTCAACATGAATTTTTTAACAATGCAACTTGTTCAAAATGAGTTGTGCAACCTTCAGCAGCTGAAAAAAAAAAAAAAAAAAAGCATATTTGCTGTTAATATAATAAAAGTATCGATACGTGGCAGCCATGAATCGATATAATATCGCCACACATAATATCAAGATACTATGCTGTATTGATTTATTTCCCCCACCTTCACTGGGCTAATGTGACATAATGAGTTCATTAACTAAAGTAGGAAATGAAGTCTTAGCATTCTGTTGCAAGAATAAAAATAGCTGTTCTAGTTTTTAAGAATTGGGTTCAAAATGATTTCCTGGCTGCAGCCAATCTGCAGAGCGTTTTGTGTTTCATCCATCAATCAATCTGAACCGTACTCTTTGTTATATTATTTACACATAACGTTAAGATGTCATTGGTGAATAAACAGCATGATAATGTGATACTCAGAAGTCCTTGGCTGTTATATTTTGATTTCTCTTCTCTCACAGGATCAATAAAATAATCTGAATCTGGAGCATTGTTTCAAAGAGTTAAGGCCTAATCTGAATCGCCTCCTCCAGACAAACCCTCTTCTTCTTCTTCTGGGTTTTCTGAGCTGCATTCCTCGTCTTTGTATTTGCCTGAGATCGTCTCTGATTTACAGTCTCGCAGAGAGAGACGGAGGAGCGGCCTTTTATCAGCCGACCCGCTGTTCTCTGAGAGGAGCTGCTGCAGCGTCTTTTTTTTTAAAGACCGCACTCAAGCACAAACTGTGTGTTTTTTGTTTTTTTTATCCTAACAGGGACTGGATTAACTGGAGGGAATCCCGACCAAACGACAACACCGCAGTCTATTTAAAATCGCCCACACCCTGCATGTTACAGCGGCGTGGGTGTCCTCTAGGGTCATACAGGCCCTGTTTAATCCCTGGAAAGCACACTGCGCTCACTGGTTTTAGTCATTTTTTTTTTTATAGGTGTACAGAAAACGGGATCCACCCTATAATTGTGTTCTTATTTTTGCAGAATTTGGCCATGCACAAGCTAGATTTTAGCCCCGTGTTTGTATTATTTTAGAGCAGTGACCTCGCACTAAACCCCGTCTGTCACCCACGTGTTCACATACATCTGTCCTGCTGTCGGATTGATCCTCCTGTTGTCCTTCTGTTTCCTGCACACACTCAAGAAAAAAAGAGAATGAGGAGTGGAGAGTACAAAGAGAAGCTAGCACTGTAAGAAGGAGAGTAAATATATGTGCTGGAGGATGGGCAGAGGAGGAGGAGGAGGAGGAGGAGGTCTGGGATGAGTGAGGGAGCAGGAGAGGTCAGGGGCGCAGTAGAAGGAAGCAGTCCATTAGTTTGACTCACACATTAAGAGACATCCAGCGCCCTCAGGCCTCGCTCTTTTCTGGTTTTGGTAAAAAAAAAAAAAAAGAAGAAGTTGTGCGTGTGTGCTCCTCACAAGCAGGGACGTTACACAGCTCTGTGCATGGAGACAGAGAGTGCAAGAAAGATGCGTCTTTTCTTTTGTTTTTCAGTCCTCGCAGCTCCAAACTGTGCTGCAGATAATACATGGTGACAACAGCCGATGCTAATTTCACTGCAACAGAGCAAACTGCAGCGTCACGTGTTTGCGTTCAGGTCAGGATGTTTTTGAGTTGGAGAAACACACAATGCTTGACAACACTTGACTGTGTTTACATGCACAGCGACGAAGAGAGAAGAGAGTCGAGAATCCAAATGATCCGGCCAGAAAACCCGGAGGAAAATTTTTGCACTTTTAAAGTGGAATCTCCAGCGTTTTCTTTTTCTCTGCAGAGCAATATGACAGCAAAAAAAAAGAAGCAAAAAGCATAGCAGATTTTAAACTCTACAAAGCGAGTCTCTCAGAATGACTCTTCAGTACATCGTTTCAAAGGTTGTTACTGACGGCTTAAGTATCAGCGTGCTGTCATTAATGCCACAGTTAAAGGCCATGGAGAGATTCTGCATGAACCACGGAGGCCTTCATCGCTTGTTAATGGAGCCAGAAATGAGCGTTGATATGACTCAGCTGAGTGGATCAATGGCCCCCCCGTCCTCCCTGTTTGGACTCAGTGTGTAGATTAAACAAAGGACATCATCCTACAACATACATCATTGCAGAGCTGCACTCACAGGAAAATGAATTACCCTACATTTGCATACCTCACGGCCGGGAGGAGACTCAGGAGGAGGAGGGGGGGGGGGCTGCATAAAGATTGACATCATTATAACTCTCAGCCCAAGGAGGTGTGT